TTTCTCTGGATGCAGATAGTGTCTTTCTTCATATGTCCTTTATAGTTAATTTAGGTATTTATGATAGTCAAAATGACTTATTTACTCAAAGTCATTCTTAAGATTTATATAATTTTTTTAAAAATCCTTTTATTAGAAGACAAGTTACATATTTACCTGAGTTCAAATCCAACCTCAGATATTGACTGACTGTGTCATCCTGGGCAAATCACTTAATTTTTGTGTGCCTCAGTTTCCTGATCTATAAAATGAGGATAAGAATTGCACCCCCCCCCCCCAGGGTTGTTGTGTCATGGGTGTAACTGTCCTTGGAGGGGGAGTGGGGCTTCTCTCTAGACAGTCCAACCTCCAGCTTAGAAGGTCCACTTGACCCTTAGGGAGGAGGCAGGGGCCAAGGAGGGACAGCCCAGCAAAGGGAACATTAGTTCAGATGTTGTCTCCATGTGGTGTTGTGTCCAGAAAACCAAAACCAATCACCTGGTGACCAGAATGAATGAGCAAATGAATGAAGTCAATCACCAAGTGTTTCCTAAGTCTGTTACATGCGAGGCACCTTGCTAAGTGAGGGAATCACAAACACAAAAGTGACTAGCCCCTGCCCGCAAGGAGCTTATATTCTACTGAGAGTTGTGGCATATTCACATGTCATTAAATACAGGCTCTCTAAGAAATAAGTATGCAGTGATTGGGGGGGGACAGAAAATTAAGAAAGCTCTTCGGGAGGAAGTAGCCCTTGAGCTGATGCTCCAAGAGAGCTCGGGGTTCCCAGAAGTGCAGGTGAGGAGGATGAACGCTTCAGGAGGGACAGGTACCTGTGCAGAGGTACGAGGTGGGAGACGGGACGTTGTGTCTGGGGAACAGCCAGTGTGGCCAGAGTTTAGGGCACATGAGGGGAGTGGTGTGCCGTTAGCCTGCTGGGGTCAAGCGGTATTTGTTTCCTCCGAAGGTCAGAGCAGCTGCCCTCAGAATATGGTTGCTCAAGAGAACTAGAGCTTGGACCACTGGCATGGCCTCCTTGTTGCCTGAGGCATAAAGAGCCCAGAAGGTGGGCAGTTGGTGCCCTGGAGGGCTGGCAGAATTCCTGCTGCCTTTTCTGCCTTTTTCTAGCTTTTCTGCCCTGGCACATTCAGAGGTGACAGGGAGCAGCATCGGGGTAAATTGTGTACTTTGTTCATTCCGTGCCTGGAAAAGCAGGTCGGGGCCAGACCCCAGAGAAGAGCCTGTATTTTGTCCCAAAGCTTCTGAACAGCCGAAGCCGTCGTCTGGAGGACGGAGAGGGGGCGAGGCTGGACAGAAGCAGGAGCTGGTCACCATAATCCAGGAGAGACTGGACGGCTCTTTCAGCTGACGAGGATGGTTCTTAGGGGATTTCCGTGTTCTTCAGCAGCTCCTTCTCCCCGTGAACTTGCGGGAAAGAACCCGGCTAAAATGTTTATGCTTAGTTTCCTGAAATTCAGTTAAATGTTTTTTTGTGGTGAAGACTTATGTAAGGAGAGAGGCTGTTTGGTGTGGAAAGAATCCTACAGACTTTGGAGTTCCTTTTCTTACTTGCCATGAAACTTGGAGAAAGTCACTTAACATCTCAGCCTTGGCTCTTTAATCTATAAAATAGGGGTGATAATAGGTAGGCTAGTTACTTCACCTGGTTATTGTATAGAAAGGATTTCAGAGCAGTGTATAGATGGTCATGTGAGCGGTTATTATTAAGGATAAATCATAGAATCATAGACTTCAGTTATAAAGGCCCTCAGGAGTCATCTAGCTTAAGTATTTTGGCAATAATTGTGAATTATTCCTTCACACACCTTTGGGGTGACTGTTAGGTGGAGTTTGTTGCCATGGAGAACAATGAAGGCTCTCTGAAGCCAAAAAGAAATTGAAAGAAAGTCACCGAGTAGGGCCAACCTCCTAAAGCTAATCATAAAAACATATGGTAAACAAACACACAGTTTGGGATGGTCAGTATGGATATTTGCTTTGCTCAACTATGTATATTTATTATAAGGATTTTGGTTTTTCTTCCCCTGGGGGAATGGGAAGGAGAAAAAAAATAAATGCTTGAATTAAAATTTTTTTTTAATTTAAAAAAGCATAGTGTATTCAGCAAATTGGAATATTATTTTGTCAAGTGAGATATCTTGCTTCTTGTCAATTGGCTTCACAGAAGGAATTTTTAAGCGCCTACCCTTGGGGAGCTTTATTTGCGTGCCTGAAATAAAAGAGGATACAGAGCATATTCTGGGTCAGGCCTAACTCAGGACAATCCAATAATTCAGACTCGGGATTATGAAGCATTCAGGGACCTTAAAATAGAATAAAAACAACTTTACTGATGATAAAAGATTAAAAAAGATACAATTCCTTTTTGAAGGAATTTCAAAGAGTTGAAAAGATAATAATTTAAATAAAAAACAGTTTTGTCTTCACATTGACAACCAGACATGCCAAATCAAGATATTCCCTAAGGGGTGATAAGAGTGCTGGTAAAATCTTCAACTTCCCCAGGCTGGGTCTTTTATACATCTTGTGATGGGGAAGCAAAACAGCCTTCCTCTTACCTCATAAAGGAACAGCCTAGCTAACAGAAGATATGGACTGCTTCTACTACTAAGAGAAAGAGTTCTCTAGCTAGAGACAATTAGAGTAGAATGAGGTCTTTGGGTATAGAAATGCAATGCTAAGTTTTAGAAGTGTTTTCTATGGTAGTAGGCATACAGCATCCATCCAGCAACAGAACTTTAGGCTTAAGTGTTTTCTCATTCCTCCTATTTTTGCTTATGTGATTTTTTTTTCTTTTGTTTTGTTCTCTACTTTCTGTTGGCCCTATGAGGATAAACTAAGATGAAAAGCTAGATTTGAATTGTAGAGAAATACAGGCTTAGAAAAACCAATCAACAAGCATTTATTAAGCACCTATTATGTTCTGAGCACTAAGAATACAAATACAATGAATGAAACAGTCCCCATTCACAAAGAACTTACATTCTAGTAGAGAAGACAATGTGTAAGTATAAACAGAATAAATATAAAGAGAATAAATTGTTGTGTCATTTCAGTGGTATCTGACTCTTCATAACCCCATTTTGGGGTTTTCTTGGCAAAGATATTGGAACGATGTGCCATTTCCTTCTCCACCTCATTTTACAGATGAGGAAACTGAGGCAAACAGGGTTAAGTGACTTGCCCAGGGTCACACAGCTCAAAAGTGTCTAAGGCCGAATTTGAACTCAAGAAGATGAATCTTCTTGATTCCAAGCCCAGTGCTCTATCCACTGCACCACCTAACAGCCCAAAAAGAGAATAAATACAAAAGAATTAAATCCAAGGAAGTTTAGAGGGGAGGGCAATAGCAGTTGTACTAATAATGTAGGAGGTGGTACTTAAGCTGGAAGAGAGGAATTCTGTGAGGAAAGGGTGCATTCCAGGCACGGGGCATACTGTAAAGTGCAGGTTTCAAATTATTCAGGTACTATAGAACAAGGTAGCCCTAACCTTTCAAATAATAGAGACAGTGCAATGATGCAACTTTCATATGTCAAAGGGACTTTCGAAAATAGCTAGTAATTGGGCCTGTGCAAGTAAGTTTGGAAAGTAAATTTCTAAATTCTTCATATGTGCGTAGGAAAATCTTTCACAAAACCAGGAGGAGAGAAAGCTGAAAAAGAAAAATGTGGGTCAATAATGAATAGTGATACCAAAAAATTTACTAAAATAGTAACAAAGGGGGTAGCTAGGTGGCGCACTGGATAAAGCACCGTCCCTGAAGTCAGGAGGATCTGAGTTCAAATCCGGCCTCAGACCAAACACTTGACACTTACTAGCTGTGTGACCCTGGGCAAGTCACTTAACCCCAATTGCCTAAAAGCAAACAAACAAAAAATAAAATAAAATAGTAACAAAGAGGATGTAGCAGTATTTTCAGATTATTGTGGCTACCTTAAATTTATATCAGGCAGGTAGTAATGATTCAATGTTTGGGAAACTAAAAAAGTAATAACTGATCATATTGATGACAATAAAACCATATGATTATGTCAGTACAAGGATGCTTCATTTTATTGTGCTTTGCAGATACTGCTTTTTTTGTGGTTTTTGTTTTTTTACAAATTTAAGATTTGTGGCAACCTTACGTTGAGTAAGTATTGTGCCATTTTTCCAACAGCATATGCTTACATCATGTCTCTGTATCATATTTTGGTAATTCTTACAATATTTCAAACTTTTTCATTATTATTATTATATGTCATATTATCATTGTAATTGTTTTGGGGCTCCATGTAGAACACCAATAATAAGATTGCTTTCTTATTTTAAGAAATTACCACTACCACCCCAGCCATCAGTAAGCACCACCCTGAGTAGTCAGCAACCATCAACATCAAGGCAAGACCCTCCACCAGTAAAAAAAATTACAACTTGTTGGAGGCTCAGATTATGGTTAGCATTTTTTAGCAATAAAGTATTTTTTAATTAAGGTAAACATTGTTTTTTAGACACAATACTATTGCACACTTAATACACTACAGTGTAGGGTAAACATAACTTTTATATGCACTGGAAAACCAAAAAATTCATGTGACTGGCTTTCCTGCAATATTTGCTTTACTGGTACAGGTCTAGAACCAAACCTGTAATATCTCCAAGGTGTGATTGTAAAAATAGAAAACTCCTTCTTACACTAAAACACTCATTTATGTTGAAAAGGAAATTACTAGCAATAAGTAAAACAGACCTTTGCGTATTATGACACAAAGTATTTGTCTAAAGCCAAGAGCTGGCATTGTTTCTAATAAAGAAATATTAGATACCTTTCTAAGAAGACCAGAGTTAAAGCGACGATGTCCATTGTCACCAGTATTATGCCATACGGCTCTAGAAATGCTTCTGCCACCATAATGGAGGAAGTGCCCACAGCAGTGAAATCAGAGTCTGTGCAAAGTATCAGAATAATGTAGCGACTCATTTTAATTTCTAATTTTTGCCTCTGTGACTTGTTTTAGGAACCTGGCTGTTGTATTTGCCATGTACCTGGAGTATTGGCATGGCAGCAGAGCCAGGCTGTTTTCCAGATTGGTATATGTTGTCCCTTTTTGGCACTGGCGCGATTCTGATGCGGGGAGCTGGCTGTACAATTAATGACATGTGGGATCAGGACTATGACAAAAAGGTAAAGAAAGCCTTCCTAAATATTATGATAATACCAATAGCTTTAACTAAATTTTATAGATTAAATTATAAAGCAATTTACATATGTGGAATATTCATTAATGCTATAATTATAGAATGACTTCAGAGCCCTAGCTATGTATGAAAGAGGAAACACTCAAAAATGCAATATTTTAAAACATATTTTCCTTCTCTGTAATCTGATAAAAATCAACCAGAGTTTGTTTTATTTTCCCAAAAATGTGCAAATTCAGAAAAGGTCTGTTTTGATGTCCATTTTTGATGTGAAATGTGAAATTCACAAACTGGTCTTGGTAAGGTTCTTTAGTACTTTTTTCCCTGGCATCCTCTGTCTTTTGACTCAGCAAACCTCCAACCTTTTGGCTGATACAAAAAGTACTGAGCATGGAACAATATTTAAATGTGATTTAAATATGATCATTTAAATGATGCAAATCATACCTTTTCTTGCACAGATCATGCCTATTTTAAGTCCCTACTCCAGTATGACTCCTTTTTCTATTTAAAATGACTTCTATTGGCTATCTTGCTTTTCCCTCGCAAGAGGCACCAAGGTTCATTAAAACATATAGGATCATAAAAATTAGAGCTTGAAGGGACTTAACTATTTAAGTAGGTTTTACTCTGGTAGATTTTAAAGAAATTTATTAAAGTGCTTTTGAGAGATCTTGACTAAGGGCACGGAGCCAAGAGGGCAGGGACTCCCCAGAGCTCTCCCCCAAACCACTCTAAATACCTGTAAAAAATGACTCTCAACAAGTTCTAGAGCAGCAGAACCCACAAAAAGACAGAGGGGAACACATTTCCAGCCAAAGACAACCTGGAAGGTCTGTCACACCAAGGTAAGAGAGGAGCACAGTCCACTCAGGCTGCACCAGCACAGACCAGCCCCAGCAAACCCAGAGCCTGCCTTGGGACCACTGAATCACTGGCAGCAGTGGCAGTTTTCAGACCTCTCAGACCTCAGACACCAAACACGACTTAGAAGGTCAGCAGGAAAGGTCTGTTGCACCTGGGAGAAAGAGGGGCACAGTCCAGCATAGGCGGGACTCTGTTGCTTTGCCCGTACTGTGATATAGGTCAGAGTCCTGGGTGGTAGTCCCAGGGTGAGGAGGAGCACTGACATAGCAGAGCTTGTGGCCGCAATGGAGGAGGGACCCTCCTCACGGTTCTAGGGCAGAAAAGAGTGCTTGTGGTCACTCACAGGCCAGAGCAGAGGCCTAAAGAGGAGTAAACACCTCTCCTTAGATACCGTCTTGGAAGAACTGAAAACTTACAGGTTCCTAGAAGTATCTCTTAAAACAGCTACTCAAAACCCCTGAAGCTTGGGACCATGCACCCTCCATCCTGGAAGCAGAGCCCTACCTTAACAAAGAGTTAAATGAGCAAACAGTGACTAGAGAAACTTACTTTGGTGACAAGGAAGATCAAAACACACACTCAGAAGAAGATAACAAAGTCAAAGCTCCTACATCCAAAGCCTCCAAGAAAAATATGAATTGGTCTCAGGCCATGGAAGAGCTCAAAAAGGATTTTGAAAATCAAGTAAAAGAAGTAGAGGAAAAATTGGGAAGAGAAATGAGAGTGATGCAAGAAAATCATGAAAAATGAGTCAACAGACACAAAAAATACTGAAGAAAACAACACCTTAAAAAACAGACTAGTCCAAATGGTAAAAGAGGTCCAAAAAGCCAATGAGGGGAAGAATGCCTTCAAAAGCAGTATTGGCCAAATGAAAAAGGAAGTCCAAAAGCTCACTGAAGAAAATAATTCCTTAAAAATTAGATTGGAGCAAATGGAAGCTAATGACTTTATGAGAAATCAAAAAACCATAAAACAAAACCAAAAGAATGAAAAAATAGAAGACAATGTGAAATATCTCATTGGAGAAAGAATTGACCTGGAAAATAGATCCAAGAGAGAGAATTTTAAAATTATTGGACTACCTTAAAGCCATGATCAGAAAAAGAGCCCTAAACATCATCTTTCAAGAAATTATCAAGGAAAACTGCCCTAATGTTCTAGAACCAGAGGGTAAAATAGAAATGGAGAGAATCCACCGATCACCTCCCGAAAGAGATCCCAAAATGAAAACTACCAGGAATATTATAGCCAAATTCGAGTTCCCATGTCAAGGAGAAAATATTGCAAACAACCAGAAAGAAACAATTCAAGTGTTATGGAAACACAATCAGGATAACACAAGATCTAGCAACTTCTATGTCAAGGGCTTGGAGGGCTTGGAATATAATATTCTGGAGGTCAAAGAAGCTAGGATTACAACCAAGAATCACCCACCCAGCAAAACTGAGTATAATCCTTCAGAGGAAAAAATGGTCATTCAGTGAAATAGAGGACTTTCAAGCATTCTTGATGAAAAGACCAGAGCTGAATAGAAAATTTGACTTTCAAATACAAGACTCAAGAGAAGCATGAAGAGGTAAACAGGAAAGAGAAATCATAAGGGACTTATTAAAGTTGAACTGTTTACATTCCTGCATGGAAAGATGATATTTGTAACTCAGTAACTCTAATACTCAGTATTAGAGTAGTAGGAGGGAATATATATATATAGACAGAGGTCACAGGGTGAGTTGAATATGAAGAGATGATATCTAAAAAATAAAATTAAAGGGTGAGAGAGGATTGTACTGGGAGAAGGAGAAAGGGAGAGGTAGAATGGGGTAAATTATCTCCCATAAAAGAGGCAAGAAAAATCTTTTATAGTTGAGGGGAAGAGGGGGGAGGTGAGGGGGAGTGAGTGAACCTTACTCTCATCAGAATTGGCTGGAAGAGGGAATAACACTCTCAATTGGGTATAGAAATCTATCTTACCCTACAGGAAAGTAGGAGGGGAAGGGGATAAGAGAGCATGGTGGGGGGGTGATGGCGGGTGGTAGAGGGGTGGGCAGATTGGGGGAGGGGGTAGTCAGAAGCAAAACACTTTTGAGGAAGGATAGAGTTAAAGGAGAGAGAGAATGGAATAAACAGAGAAGGAACAGGATAGAGGAAAATAGTCTTTCACAACATGACTATTATGGAAGTGTTTTGCATGACTACACATATATAATCTGTATCAAATTGCTTGCCTTCTCAATTATGGGGGGTGGAGAGGGAGGAAGGGAGAGAATTTGGACCTGAAAGTTTTAAAAATAAATGTTAAAAATAGTTTTTACATGTAACTGGGGGAAAATACTAAATAAATAAATTAATTTAAATAAATAAATAAGTTGCGGCAAGTCCCCCCCCCAAAAAAAGAGATCTTGACTAATACCATTATAAAATTACAAAACCAAATTTTAATATTTTCTTTGATTTTTCTTTTTAAGCCTGTAAGTGTTCATGATCAAGTTGGGGAGAATTGAATTTCATGTTTATTCTGCAAGAGCACAACTATTAAATCCTGTTTGCCCACGTGACAGTTGTGTCCATACACCTTTCTCCTCCCCAGGATTTTGATGTCATTTTTTGTTAATCTGATCTTGACACATATCAGCAAGTCTGAACATTTCCATGTACAAAGAAAAACAGTAAAAGGAGATCGTATGTGAAGTCACAGATCTGTTTGTGCCTACACAGAGAGTTATTTTGTTACCATCCGTGTTGAGTTTGAGAATTGGAAGGGACCCCACCACCCATCCGGACCAAAGCGTACGCTTTAAGGTATCTGAGAAGCGGTCATCCCCTCTCTACCTGAAGACTACAAAGGAGGGGACACCACCTTTTCTTGAGACAAACCACTCGGCTCTTGGGCAGCAGCAGTTGTGAAGGGTTGTTTGTGGGCATCGAGCTTCGATTTGTGTCTTTGCCCCTTCTACCCATTGCTCCTGCATCTTCCCTCTAGGGCCGAACTGAGCTAGACTAATCGCTCCTTCTGATGTCCACCATTGATGTCCCTGTGAGTCTTTCTCCACACCAAACATTCCCAGTTCCTCAACTGATCCTTGTAAGTCCAGAACACAAGACCCTTGACCATCCTGGCTGCCCTCCTCTGGACACGCCTCAGCACATCCTCAGCTCATCGCACTCCTCAATCCTCCCTAAACAATGGTGCTCAGAATTGAGCACAGTGCTCCTGGGACGGTTTGGCATTTGACCCACAGGGGTCATCGTGACTGACCAACTTCAGATAAAACTGTTTGCTAACTCAGAAAGAAAAGATTAGCAAGTAGTGATGTTAACATGGATGTAGTCAATGTCTTTGGTTATACTGGGAAGAATAATTTTTAAATTTTTTAGTTTTTAGGAGAAAAACAGCTAAATTCTGTTTGCCTATAACATCTGTGTCTCTCTTTTACACTTACAGTCACTTTGCAACTTCTTCTTAGGTATAGATTTGGGTTAGTGTAATTAGACTTAGTCAAAGATTGTTCTCAGGTAGCCTCGCCGAAATCCTCTTACTGCATATTCATATCAACAATATCTTCCTCACTCACCCTTACCCTTGCAGGAGTCATTATTGTAACACTAGTTTTGTGCACTCCTTGCTCCAAAACCTTGTTAGTATGATAGCAGTTTAATCCAAATTCCATTCCATCTTCCTATATCCAAGTGTTCCCAGTGTCTTTAACCCACTTACTTTCTGTCTCCTGCTTCCTGTATGGGAGTTGGACTGTGTGCATGATAAAATGAGTGACTAAGTATATAAGTTTTATTGTGGAGAGGGGAGAGATGGAGTCATGTTTGTTTTTTTATAAGTTTCTTAATTGTGTTTTTTCCAAGCTTGTTCAAATCTGAATTACTGGTTCTTGGCCATATCTCAAATATTGGGTTTTATCTTTGCATGAGGCTTTTAGTAAAGAATCTGATTTTTCTGTGTAAAGGTTACAAGGACAGCAAATCGACCAATCGCTGCTGGAGATATTTCAACTTTTCAGTCTTTGGTTTTCCTTGGAGGACAGCTGAGCTTGGCGCTGTGTGTACTCCTGTGTCTGAATTATTACAGGTACATTTCATACGCGTTTCCCAGTATGAATGAAAAACCTGTCATTTTAAATTTGAAAAATAGTGACATAAAGTTGCTTTATTTCTGCCCCTAAATATGCTTATTGGACACATAACCAGTGTACAGACATTGTTGTTCTTCTTGAAAATGACCTCAGGTACAGTGAGAATTAAACTCATAGCATTTCATAGCCCTCGTGGTTATTTGATATGGTTAGAATTGCTAGCTATAGCAGTTAGACAAGGAAGAAAAGCACTTGAGGGAACAAGCATCAGAAAAGAGGAGACAGAATTCTGTCTGCAGGTGATATGGTTTCCCTAGAAACTCCTAGAAATTCAATGAAAAACTTAATTGCAATGATAACTTTAATAAAGTAACAGGATTAAAAATAAACTGACAAAAATAATTGGCTGTTTTGTATATTACAAAACTCAGCAGAAGGAGATAGATGGAGAAATTGCATTTAGGATTGTAGGACACAAAATAACCGGAAGTTAACCTACCAAGACATACTCAGGACTTACAGTGATGTAACTACCATGCAACCTTTGCAGAATAAAAGAAAACTTAAATAATTGAAGAGCTATTCGTTGTTTGTTGTTGGGCCATGCCAATAAAATTAAAATGATACTACCTAAATTCATGTGCAGTTTTAGCAGTATACTAATGAAACTTCAAAGATAAATGTTTAAAGAATTGGACAAAATAAAAACAGAATTATTCAAAGAATGGCTCTCATATATGTGTATCCATTCATTACAAGTCTTAGACTTTTGTCAGATATTTTCTGTAAAAATGTTTCCCACTCAACAGCTTTTCTTCTTATTCAGGATACATTGATTTTGTTCTTGCAAAAGTTTTTTAATTTTATGTAAGTGGAGGTATCTATTTTATCTTTTATGATTACCTTTATCCTTTGTGAGGAAAACCACGTGCTTGGGGTAACTCAAAACGCTGGAAATGTAAATTTTGGTGCCCTCCTTCATGTATAATGGCTGTCCATAAAAGTTGCTTGACGCACATAGCTTTTGTGTTAAACAGATACTAACTGCTAAGCTGAGTTGTTCCCTGCTGTGCTTTACTCGGTATGACTTTTCAACCAAACTAAGCAATCTGATGGGTGACTTCTCTAATTCTCTGTTTCCAAGATGCTCCTCCGCTTAGCTGGAATTACTCCTCAGTAACAACGTAGCATCATCACTTCCGTGTTTCAAACTTAGGTGATAGCGTCCTGAAATCTGTCCTTTTACCTCTCTCTCCTCTTATCTTTCTGGGTTCTCTTTGCAAATGACCACACCTCACCTCGTGACTATTGATTCATTTCTCGTTTCCTGTCTATAAATATAAATTACATTTGTGTAGTTCTAGTGTTCCTATCTCTCCAGTATTTTACAGATGGTCCCATTCAAAATGAATAATAGTCTCATAACTTCAAGAAAAAGTCATTGCTTCAGTAACTTTTTGTCTTAGAATTCTAGGCAGACTTAACTCAGCCATAAACTGCCCCATATGAAAAGACAGTACAATAAAGGCACAGCGCGGCACCATTTTGATTTCCAGTGTCTTAGAAGGTAGCCTTCATTTGCATGACTATTCTGGTTCTGCTTTCTTTTTTTCTGTATCAATCTTTTTTTTTTTTAATTAATTTATTTATTTTTAGTTTTCAACAATCACTTCCGTAAGTTTTTAAGTTTTAAATTTTTCTCCTCTTCCCTTCCCACCTCCCTCCCAAAACAGTGTGCAATCTGATATAGGCTCTACATATACATTCCTATTAAACATATTTTCATATTGGTCATGTTGTAAAGAATAATTAGAACCAATAGGAGGAACCACAAGAAAAAAAGAAACAAAACAAAACAGGAAAAAAAAAAGAGCAAATAGTATGCTTCTATCTGCATTCAAACTCCATAGTTCAATGAAAAGAAATGCTAGGGAAGGTGGCCTAGCCATTCCAGATCTTAAATTGTATTATAAAGCAGCAATCATCAAAACTACTTGGTACTGCCTAAGAAATAGACTGGTGGATCAGTGGAATAGGTTTGGTCCACAAGACACAGTAGTCAGTGACTATAGTAATCTATTATTTGATAAACCCAAAGACCCTAACTTCTGGGATAAGAACTCCCTGTTTGACAAACCTGCTGAGAAAACTGGGAAAGAATGTGGCAGAAACTAGGCATAGACCAAAATCTTACACCATATACCAAGTCAAAATGGGTTCATGATTTAGATATAAAGGCTGATACTATAAGCAAACTGGGAGAGCAATGAATAGTTCACCTGTCAGATTTATGGAGAACAGAAGAATTTATGACCAAACAGGAGATAGAGAACATTATGAAATGCAAAATGGATAATTTTGATTACATTAAATTGAAAAGCTTTTGCACAAACAAAGCCAATGCAACCAAGATTAGGAGGGAAGTAGAAAACTAGGAAAGAATTTTTACAGCCAGTATCTCTGATAAGGGCCTCATCTATGAAATATATAGAGAACTAAGTCAAATTTATAAGAATACAAGTCATTCCCCAATTGATAAATGGTCAAAAGATATGAACAGGCAGTTTTCAGATGAAGAAATTAAAGCCATCTATAGTTATTTGAAAAAAATGCTCTAAATCACTATTGATTAGAGAAATGCAAATCAAAACAACTCTGAGTACCACATTACACCTATCAGATTGGCCAAGATGACAAAACAGGAAAATGATAAATGTTGGAGAAGATATGGGAAAATTGGAACACTAATGCATCATTGGTAGAGTTGTGAAGTGATCCAGCCATTTTGGAGAACAATTTGGAACTATGCCCAAAGGGCTGTAAAATTGTGCATACCCTTTGACCCAGCAGTAGTATTTCTAGGGCTGTATCCCAAAGAGATCATAAAAATGGGAAAAGGACCCACATGTACAAAAATATTTATAGCAGCTCTTTCTGTGGTGTCAAAGAATTGGAAATTGAGGGGATGCCCATCAATTGGGGAATGGCTGAACAGGTTGTGGTATATGAATGTAATGGAATACTATTGTGCTATAAGAAATGATGAGCAGGCAGACTTCAGAAAAACCTGGAAACACTTGTATGATCTGATGCTGAGTGAAGTGAGCAGAACCAGGAGAACATTGTACACAGTAATAGCCATGTTGTGTGATGACTAATATTGATAGACTTAACCCTTCCTGGCAATACAAGGATCTAAGACATCTCCAGAGGCCTCGTGATGGAAAATGCTATCCACATCCAGAGAAAGAATTACAGAGTTTGAATGCAGATCGAAGAAGACTGTTTGCTCTTTTTTTTCTTGTGTTGAGTTTTGTTTCCTCTTTCTGGTGGTTCCTCCTATTGGTTCTAATTCTTCCTTATAACATGACTAATGTGGAAAAAAAAACAAAACTCCACAGTTCTTTCTCTGGATGTGGATATTATTTTGCATCATGAGACTTTTGGGGATGTCTTAGATCCTTGCATTTATTGATCTTTTTTCAATATAGAAAGCACCTATCCTTCTAAGGTCTCAGTACTTTTATACCTTCTATTTATAGTAACCATCACTGAAGAGTAAACAGAAGAAGAAATGGTTTCTTTTTCTTCTAGTAGATAAGTAAGGCTAAGGCACAGAGAAATTTAGGGACTTGCCCTCTCATCTCTTTGTTAAAGATTGGCTGCAGAGATAGAACTTAGGCCTTGACTCAGTTTCCTTAACGAATGAGAAAGCAACTTGCTTTCAACAATGACAAAAAAGGGTAAATAAATCCAAAGGAATCAGTTTTTTTGTGGTACATTTTAGAAAACAGCCATTTTGTCTGCACGGCCTGCAGGATATTCATTAACAAAACGAAAACCACGTTCTGCAAAGTGCTTCCTGATCATTATGTTCCCCCATAAATCAAAGATTCTTTAGCTTGTTTTGTTCAGGGACCTCTCTGGCAGGTAATAAAGCCCGTGGGGGGACTCCTCAGAATCGTGTCTTTCAGGGCAAAAAATAAAACACAGAGGATGATAGAGGAAATCAAAGGTTAATGAAGATAACGGTGTCATTTTTTTCCCCATCCAAGTTCACAGACTGCCTGAAATCTATCTCTGAACTCCTGGGTGATCTGCAGACCGTGGTTCAGAACCTCTGCTAAGATGTAATAATAACAATAATAATAATAGCTAGTGTTTATACAGTGCCTATTCTGTACCACATTCTGTGCTAAGTGCTTTACAAGTATTATCTCATCTTACAACCTTATAACAACCCTAGGAGGTAGGTGCCTTTATTAATAATCCCCATTTTACATTTGAGGAAACTGAGGAAGACACAGATTAAGTGACTTGCCTGGGGTCTCTCAGCAAATAAGTGTCTGAAGCAGGATTTGAACTCAGGTCTTCCCAAATCCAGACCCAGTGGTCTAATCACTGCACTACCAGCTGCCTACATAGAGATGTCTTCCTTTTGATTCTTCTTTACAGACCTCTCGGTTACCATAAATTTGAGTTTAGCTTATGTTCAGCCATGGTGACTTAATGCAAAAGAAGGGCTGTGTGATTTTCCAGCTCTTCAGTGGCATCTTCAGTCACCTCCAGTGCCGTAGGAAAACTCAGGCACTAGGAAGAGCACTCCACATGCTTGAAAATCAGAGTTAGGAAGGAAATGTTTCTGTGTTATCTCATGACTGCACCTCTTCCCTCTAAGTCCATTAGAGTATTTATCAGTTTCTAAGGAGCTGTATCAGATGGTACATATTTGACCTCTTTCATTTCCTTTTCATTTCAGTATAGCACTGGGAGCTGCATCATTGTCTCTGGTGGTCATTTACCCTCTGATGAAAAGAATTACTTATTGGCCGCAGTTAGCGTTGGGTGAGCTTGAAATTACTATGTTATTACCCATCATCTCTTAAAAATGTTTTATTGATGCGCTTCCTTTGTTCCTTCCTTTCTTTTCTTTCCTTCTTTCTTTTCTTCCCTTTCCTCCTTCCTTCCTTCTCTTTCCTTCCTTTTTCCTTTTCCTGTCTTCTTTCTTTCCTTCTCTTTCTCTCTCTCTCTCTCTCTTTCTCTTTCTTTCTCTCCTTCTGTTCCTTCTTTCCTTCTTTCTAGCACAACCTACTAACTCATTCCCATCTTCTACAAATGAAAACCTTCCTGCATAAAGAGTAGATTTAGTTGAGTAAAACCAATAGTGCATTTGCCACGTGTGAAAACGCATCTCATTCTGCCCCTCTTATCTTCCTCTTCTTTAGTAAGAGTTGGTTCACGTGTTTCATCATGTCTTCTGAAGTCCTCACTGGTTATTGTGTTGATCTGAGTTCTGTAGACTTTCAGAGTTGCTTTCCTTCATGTTATGGTGGGCCTCGTAAATTGTTTTCCTGGTTCTGCTTATTTCACTCTGTATCTGTTCATATAAGTCTTCTCAGCTTTCTCTGTAGCCATCATTTTTGTCATTTCTTACAGCACATCTTACATAGGATCCTAAGGTCATAGATTTAATTAAAGCTGAAAGAGAGCTAACGGCCATCTCATTTTACCAATGAGGAAACTGAGTCCTAGAGATGTTGAGTAACTTGCCAAGGTCACTCAAGTGGTAAGTGACATAGGCAGGATTTGAATCCAAATCCTCTGACCCTATTATACCAGGTTGTCTCAATATTTCATTACATTCATATAACAATTTATAATGGATCCAAAGATAAGGAAATTGCCCCAAACTAAAAGCAAAGTATTTTTTAAAATAAGTTTTTTTTATTTATTTGTTTCTAAAGAGTGATTCGCAAGATTTGTTAAATAATTAAAAATGCCCTAGACGAGGGATTCTTAATCTTCTTTTGTCATGGGCCCCTTTAGCAGTCTGGTTAAACCTATGAATGCCTTCTCAGAACAATGTTTTTAAATGCATAAATTAAAACATATTTTGGATTACAAAATAAATCAGTTACACCGAAATACATTTATCAAGGTCTAAACATTAAAAATCAACAAGTTTATGGACCCCCAAGTTAAAAATCCCTATTAGTGCACCCAAGTTTTCAAATGGATTTTCTAAAAAATTCAAAATGTTGGAATATATTGAAAAAAAGTTACAGATCTGAACTCACCTCCTTCAACAGATTTCTTATATTTCTTCAGCCACCCTGGAAAATAGGGAAATTAGGACACCATTACCCTGGTATTCCCAGGTGGATCTTGCCACTTGTATGGTCTTGTCTAGGTATGAAGGTCTGGACCCTAAGGGTAATCCCAAAGGAGCCCTCACAGGAATGCCTTCTTCAGTGGCCTGTCCCTACATGTCACTTCGAGAAAACAGAGGCTTGCAAGGCTATGCTGCTGGGATCTAAGACACAAGCAGTTTAGGGCAGGAAGCATGTTTGTGTCTTTTAGCCTTGTCAATAGAGGGCTTTCTTTGGAGAATTCTATATGAATACAGTGCATAAGACATTTTCAATATCTTTCCATTTATTTTTCCCCTTTCTCTCCCAGAGTGAGCCATCACTCTGGCATGGCTTGGTCATTTTCCATCAGAATGAATGGTAGCATGTTATAGTGGAAAGTCCCCTGACCCTGGACCTAAGCCCTGGGAGTTCACCTTGTGGCGCCGTCATGTATTAGTTGTATGACTTTGGACAAGTCATTTTATCTCTAAACCTTAGTTCGCTTTAAAGTAGGGATTAATAATATTGATACTGCTGACCTGGGAGGATTTTAAGGGCCATAAACTCGGTATAACTGGGAGTTAGCATCACAGTCAGCATTTAACCATAGATTAATCATTAGTCACAGTTTAATTGCTCTTTAGGATCATTTCCATTTACATTTTTGTCATAATTGTGCATATTATTTTCTTGGTTCTGCTAACTCACCACCATTTCATTTAAATCTTAGCATTTTTCTATAATTCCTCATATCCGTTATTTCTTATTATGTAAGTAATATTCTGTTACATTCATGTACTACAATTGTTTAGCCATTCCTCAAACAATATGGCCCATTGTTTTTTTCTATCTTCTTTCCAGTTTTTGCTATCACCAAAAAAAAAATGTGATTAAAACAGTACCTTGGCATATATGAGAACTCTCTGTCTTTAACTTCTTTAGGGTACCCACCTAATAATGGTTTAATGGTGCATGAGTTTAATAAATTTTATCACATAATTTCTGGTGTAATTTTTTACATTTAGATCTTTTATCCATTGATAATAAAGTTCTTTCTTCAGTTTAAATACTTCTTGATTAGATCTGCAAGACTTCAGGAAAATAGTTTTTCATTTAATATTGATGCCTTTTATTTTTAACACCACAGTGATCTCCCAAAATGTGCCATCTGCCCTGCCCCAATAACAAAGAGAAGTTAGCAAAACAGACCAACGAAGCAACTGTTTTTGATGGTCTTTGTGGCACTCCATGCCTGCAAAGCCCATGTTTTTGCCAGTATTTTTAGGTGTACTGTATCCCTGGCCAAGAGCCCAGCATTTCTATGTTTAAAACCAACTTTTGGAAATGCAGATCTCATTCTTAGAAACCAGTGTTCTTAGTCAGCTTCTCTTTACCTTGACAGGACCACGTCTTTCTCTTTCAAACCTCATGCTCTCAATTTATATAGTCATGAAAGCAATGTTGGTGCCTGTGAGGCCTTCAGTTTTTTGCGTAGGACTTCATAATCTTTAGCATTTGGTTCCTCTAGGGCCATCACTTGTCTCAAAATGAATCATCAGAAGTGAGCAGTGATTACCAAGTTTGTGTTCACGTAGCGTTCGTTCATTGTACTTGTGACCCCAGTGCCTCAGACAGTGACACAAAACAATTACTTTAGGAATACTTATTGATTAATTAACATTATTTGGAGATTTCCCATCACACCCTGGATACTTTCCTTTGGGAAGACTGACCAACTTCCCTGTTTATATCCAATTGATTACAAGTTATGTCAGTATCCCCCCCAACAGAAAGTCTTCTTTCTTTAACCATTATTGGATAAAGCCTTGACCGATGGCACCTGGGAATTTGCATCATCATTCCTTGGAGCACAAGAATCTGCTTCCCTCTGTAAGAAGATTTATGCCTGTTAAGAAGCTCCAATAGTCCATGGTCCCTCTCCTACTCCTTTGGGACATACTCTTTCACCCTCCACCCTCCTGACACAGGCAAAAATTCTCCTCTGATTATTTACGACCTTTTTCTTTTTTGTTTCCTCCTTGAAATACTTCCTACATTCTTTCTAGGAACACTTTGCTTTCCTTCATGCCCTCAACAGTAGAGTGGCCTTTCTCAAGCCCTTCTGCTTTTTCCTCTAAGACTGAGATCTCTGTGTTTTGTATACACGTAGGTGATCCATATTACTGGTGGAAACCAAAGCAAAGCACAGTCTCAAAGATCACTGCGAGTTCTCCTTGTCCGCCATATTTGATTGAAAGACCACGGTTCTTTGTTTTCATTCTAGTGGCTCTCTTCTCTAACCCTTGTGGCTAATTACTTTGTCAAGTCATGTCTTGGCAAGACAGAGTTTGAGGTGTGAGTATGCCATGGTCATCTACCTGGCTTCACCTTACTACTGACCTCTTGATACCTCCATGTCCTCCCTTGGGCATTAGCCCCTTTGTCTCCACTCGAGAGATATGGTTTAATTTTTTTAGCCCCTAGAAGCATACAGGACAGAATTCAGCTATCTCATGAGCTTCCTCCCCTGGCTGCTGCTCTGCAGATACTTCCAGTGACATTGGGGGGTTGAGGGTTAATTTATTTACTGTACAGAGGCCAGCAAGGGCAGGTGACAAAATGCACCTACATGAGACCTTTATGTCTCCTCCTTCCCTTGCCCCTCTTGTCTAGAACTTCCCCTTTGCCCGGGTTCTCTGGTAAGTGCGTGACAAGTGGTATATGCCTGTGACGGGGGTGCCTAGGGTCCTGAGTTGAAGACACCTGTCTCAGTGGGAATCGGACTTTTTTACACTGTTCACTAGTCAGATGAGAGAGATAGCCCAGCCAGCACTGCCATCTTTGTTTGTATGTTTGTCTTTTGAATTAGAGCCTGTGTTGTATGGTGCCAGGTTATTGTCATTTTTTAAAAGCTGGGCCTCCCCGCTGCCGCTTTCCTGAAGTCTGTAGCCAAAAGGCCTCCTCTCGGGCTTCCTGCTTTGTGACCCTCTTCTCTCATTCCCCTCAGTTCTGTGAACCTCTCATTCTCTTTACGCTCCCCGCAAACAGCGCAAAACGTACCAGATAGCCCTAGTGGTCAGGCCGGATGGAGTGATATCATGTCAGTGTTTCTGGGAGGCTCAGTCACATAGCACCTTTATCCTGTTTCTTCTTTCCAGCTTGGAACAATAATGGAAGCTTCTATTCCTGTGATTTCTGCTGCTGTTTTGGCAAGAGTCTGGTAAAATGCCATGGCCTCCAAAGTAGATTTAAATATGTAAAGCATAACACAGTGTACTTGTAATTAGCTTGGCCCTTGTCTACAACTTAGAATTCTGAAATAAATTCAGTGGTTTTTACCCCCTTCCTTCCTTCTCTTTTATCAATCCTAGGACTGACCTTTAACTGGGGAGCATTACTGGGATGGTCCGCCATCAAAGGCTCCTGTGATGTGTCTGTGTGCCTACCCCTTTATCTCTCTGGAGTTATGTGGACGTTAATATACGACACTATCTATGCCCATCAGGTAACGTACTCCCTTCAAACCTGTTCTTTGGCTTTTCTCTGCGCCTCTTTCTTTGACATCTGTTGCATTAAGCTTTGTGGGCTTCCAGTTGGCAGCTTTCTTTTTAATGTCATTGCACAGAGATGGCTCAGGCACTTGAAGCCCTTCCTTGAATGACGGTCACCTGCCCAGCTCAAAAAACTGCAGTATGTTCCTGTTAACTGTAGGTAAAAATATGAGGTTCTGCGCCTGATGTTCAAGGCTGTCCATGGTCCACCTCCAGCCTGTCTTTTCACCTCATTCACATTATCTCCTTTCACTGACTCCGTGTTCCAGCCAAACTGAGCTCTCATGGCTGTTCCTGAAGGTCAGCGGCCCATCTCTGATCTCCGTGCATTCATGCAGGCTGACCGTCTGCCTGGAGAGTGCGCCCTCGTCACCCCCTCCTCCACTTCAGGCTCAGCTCAGTTACCCCTTCCTCCGCGAACCCTTCTCTGATTTCCCCAGCTCTTGGTTTCCTCTCCTTCCTCAGATGCTTTTCTTCTCTGTGTACAAAGTCTAGGAGAATGGAGGCTCCTCAGAGGGCAGAAGTGATCTCTCTGCACCTCCAGGACTTCCCATGACACCCTGCACACAGTAGGCACTTAATTCATGTGTGCTGAATTGAATTGAAATCGAAGGGGTATTCATGCTCAAACTACTCATAACTCTTAGTTTTCTAGCCACAATTTTATGCTCTCACCTTCTGTACCATGCCTTGGGGTATATATCTGTGCACCTTGAGGAAGGTGGCCATATCCTAAAACAGGTGGGAAGTGTCTGAGGCCAGATTCAAACTCAGATCCTTCTGACTCCAGGCCCAGTGCTCTGTGTACTATGGCACCACCTAACTGCCTGCTTCTAATACCCCAGTGGGGACGCCTTCAGTGTGAGTGTAGATCATTCACATAAAACTTTGTACGTATGGGAAAGCAGGCAGATAAATCAGTAATTGTTCATATTCTCACCAGTCTTTTTTTTTTAAATTAACAAAGTCTAAGTTTGGTATACATATGTGCTGAATTGAATTGAAGTCAAAGGGATTAAGAAAGATGATCAAAGAGTTAAGAAGGATGGGGTATTAAGAAGGATGGGGTATACCCATCCTTCTGATACCTGTGGGTCATTCACTCAGTACTCTCCCAATTTTGTCACCCACCACACAGGGCCCTTCTGTGTGCCCTTGGTCTGATCCAGCTGCTTTTTCCTTGTTGTTCTCTTTTGAGAACATTCCTCCCTCGAGCACGTGTAGTACTATGACAGTAAAAAAGAAAAATGGTGCCCTCTAGCCATCAGCCATTTTCATCTTTAAACATCCCCAGTATGACTTTGTTGAGTTGGGTCTGTTGCCAAATTTTCATTAAACTGGATATCCCCTGTCCTTCTTTCTGTTTGTGAGGCTGTATTCCATTGTCTTTCTCGATTGTGATTTACAAATGGCTCTATGTTCTAATCTGGTGTTACCTCTGCCGAGCGTGTCAAGTGTTTGATGACCCACTGGGCCTTTTGAGCATCTGTGACCATGGATTTATAGTAGTTAAACTTCTATGTGAAATGACTCTAGTCTGCGTCTGTCCCTTTTCCATCCGCATCCCATTTTCCATCATCAGTGACTTTAATAGGTCGAGATGGAATAGTTTTAATTACCTCTCGTGCTTTTTATTTTTATTCTTCTAACTTTGTAGACCCTCACAAGTCTGTGGTCTGTGTTAATTCAGAGATGGCTCCCACATCAATAGCAAGAAGAATCAGTTTCACTTTTTCTGAAACTATTGCTGTGAATGTGGTTGTTTTGGTGAAACCGATGTTATTGGGTGCCTGCCATATCTAGTACCTGGTTCTTTTTTTCCAGGAAAGTATTCCTGAGGCATCCAGATAGTCAACAATTTGGCCCCTCTTCTCTTGCATTCCTAATCGTAGATTTAGAACCGAAAGGGACCTTCAGAGGCTAGCCTCTTGATTCACAGATGAGGAAACTGAGTCCCGTGGCGCTTGAGTGACTTGCCCAGGATCGCTCAGATGGTGTCAGAGGCAGGGTTTGAACCCAGGGCCTGTAGCTCAGAAGCCACTGTTCTTTCCAGAGTACTTTGCTTGTTCCTGTTCTCCATTGTCTTTCTTGCCACCTCTCCGCATTCCCGCCTTTCCTTTGAAGTTAACCAGTGAACACGATATGTTGATATGATTTGGAGTTTCTTCATGAGTGCTTCAGAGAATTTCTCTACCTCTCCATCCCACGTGACACACGTCGGTGCATCAGCTATAATTATTTTCAAAGTGGTCTTTTTTACAGATATGTATGACTCCTGCAATTCAGGATGATGGGGTGGCCCAGTGGCTAGTGGCTAGAGTGCCGAGCCTGGAGTCAGGAGGACCTGAGTTCAAATCTGCCTCAGACATTTCCTAGCTGTGTGACCCTGGGCAAGTCACTGAACCCTGTTTGCCTCAGTTTCCTCATCTGTTATGTGAGCTGGAGGAGGAAATGGCAAACCACTCCAGTATCTCTGCCAAGAAAACCCCAAATGGGGTCACAAAGAGTTGGTCACGCCTGAAACAACTGAACAATAACAATAACTGTGGTAAATGCACATGTGAAGGGGACTTGAACCCAGTGGAATCAGTCCTTGTCAAATATGCTTTCCGTGCTATTGCTAAATAAGCTTCTTCTGTTAAAAGTCATGTGATCCACGAGGGTCTCATTTCATCTCAATCCCAACTGCTGGAACTGCTGGCCTGCCCAAAACGATGCACATCATTCAGGGAGAGCTGCCACGTCTGTGGACAAATGAAAAACAAATTATGCTTCACTGAGAACGGTTTCACAGAGGAAGCCAGAGAAAAATTGTGTTATAAATGAAACACGCACTGGATGTGTGTCCTGGCCAGTTAGCATCGTTAAACCTTCAAGAACGCATGAAAAGTGGGTGCTTTAATGAGAAGGAGGGATGTCCAAAGTAGACCTTCCATGAGCACGAGCAACAGGCCATGAAAGACTCCTCTCACGTGGATGCAGATCCTCCCATCGGCCTCCAGAAGGCTCTGCAGACTGGAAGAACGGGCCCTCACAGGAAACGCCCGGGTGCTTAGGTAGCTTTCGTGCTCCCTGCATTTATCGCTCACCCCAGATGCAGCCAGCTGTTACTCAGATCATTCAGGGCGCCCCACCGGAGTGTGCGGGAGTCGGGCCTCCGGTTTTGCTTTCACCTTAGAGATGGTGCTTACCTCGTACACACACATTTAGAGAGCGCTGACTGCTCAGTGTTGGTGAATTGGTCTGGTGACCCTCTAACCCAGTGGTGGGAAACCTGCGGCCTGCAGGCCACACATGGCCTTCTAGATCCCGAATGGATTCAGTCAGAAGGCTGCAGGTTCCCCACCCTTGTTCTGACCCTTCACCTCTTGTGTCGAGGGCAGGTTGGATTGCCTTTAAGACAGGAACCAGAATGCTGACATTCAAGGATCTGTGAAGCTCATCGCCGTGATCTCAGCTGACCTTTAAAAGTCTCTTTTTCAGCCCTGGGCAGACTTCTGAGATCTGGAAAATTAGGCTGTGGGCTTTTGCCAAGCTCATTTTCTTCTTCATAGTTCACAAATCACCAGCGTGTCATTTAAAACAAAATTTCTCTTTGCCAGGACAAAAGAGACGATGCCCTGATTGGTCTCAAATCCACTGCGCTTCGGTTCAAGGAAGACACCAAGCAATGGCTAAGCGGCTTCGGCGTTGTCATGCTGGGCGGCCTGACTCTGGCCGGACTAAATTGTGACCAGACCGCGCCCTACTACGCTGCCGTGGCTGCCATAGGGGCTCACTTGGCTCGCCAGGTTTGTCATGGTACTGCTCGAGAGCGCCGTGTTACTGCAATGACGCATTAAGATTAGACAACTCCTTAATAAGCACAGCCCATTTTGCTCTGAACATGCAGCCCTATCTACCCCTCTTGACATGGGAAGAGGCCAGTAACCATTAGAACTAATGTGTAGACTAGCTGATAGTGTCTCTATAGGTACTGATTTTCCTGGAATGCCCTTCAGAAAGACTAGCTCTTGCAGAGTTGATATAGAATCCTATATTCTTGGTGTTTGAAGGGATCCCAGAGGCCAAGTTCTACCCGTACCTCAAGCATGAGCCCTTACTCCAACATCTCCGACAAATGACCCACTTGTGCTTGAACACCTCCGTGGTGGGAAACTTAGCGCCTCTTGAAGCAGTCCACTTTATTTTTAGACAGTTTTGCTTGTGATCTTGTTCCTTCTAGTTAACTGAATTCTATCTCCCTGTAGCCTCCACCCACCGATCCTACTTTTTACTGCCTTCTGGAGCCAAGCCAAATGCCTCATCCCCTGCTCGATGACAACCCTTCACGTGTTTCAAGTTTTATTTTCTCACGTTAAACACTCTCAGTTACTTCATTACAACTTTATATGATAGATTCTGAGTCACTCCAAGAAAGGGAGTCCCTCCCCAGTGGCAAACAGACCAGTGCTAGTAACTTAACCGTCCCAAGGGTGGGGTCTCATTTGAGACAATGAGGGGTCAATAGCCTCATACTCCTATGCCATGCAGTTACTGTAAATATGCCATGATACTAGCCAATCAGTGACAGTCTGACATTTGTTCCGGGGCAGCCCTCCCTATCTTGCCAGTCAGGTGGCCTCTATAAAATGAGCAGCCTAAATGAATGAGTCATCACAAAATTGTCCATAATGTTGTCTCACCAGCTTTGTCATGGTAGCAGTGAAAAGCGCACTTTATTGCAATGATGCATTAAGATTGCACAACTCCTTAATAAGCACAGCCCATTTTGCTCCGAGTTTTTTTTTTTCTTCACTTAAAAAGGCTAAAGATTGGACTGAATCTCTGTTTTTAGTTTAGTCAGTTTACAAAAGGTCATTTGTCAATCTGGGGAAATCAAATCTGTGGAAACACCATCTAAAGACAACCACATCTACTTTTAAGTGAATCAGCTGACCAGACTAATATTTCACTCTCATTTTTATCCTCATTGCAAAGGGGAGAAAAACTTTAAGATACAAATTCCCAATTACTCTCTCGTATTAGGGAAAAAGAGGTGACGTTGCCATGGACATCTAGGTTAATAGTATTGTCCCCCTCCCCCCCCATAGGGTGGAGCTAACACGTGCAAAGGAAGAGTGAGTGGCTGAGGTCACATTTCTTTTTTCTCCCCATTTATTTATTTATTTTTGGTTTTCAGCATTCATTTCCATAAGATTTTGAGTTCTAAATTTTCTTCCCCTCCCTCTTTTCCCACCTCCCCAAGATGGCGTGCAATCTGATATAGGCTCTATATATACATTCACATTAAACGTATTTCCACATTAGTCATGTCATAAAGAAGAATTAGATTAGGTCACATCTCTTGCATTATAATCAAAGGGCAGGCTGTGTGATGCAATTTCCTTCTTAATTTATATCCCCTCCACACCAATGAATCTCTTTTAGCTGAGAATTTTCATTTTTCTAACCCGTTGGGGCTTGTTTCTTGTCTCTGAGAACAAGGCCTCCATTTTAGAAGATGCCTTCCTGTATGAGGCACTTTCCACTAGGGCTGCCTTCAAACCCCCCCTCCCCCAGTAGACTCTCATTCTTGCCTCCTGACACAGCCCCAACCACCACCACATCTTAGAATGGATCCTCTCAAAGTGGACAAGGAATAGCTCTTCTCTTTTACGAAGAAGCTTCTGAAGAGTCATTGAGTATTAAATGCTCCTCCTCTAGCAACCTGCTCATTCTGCCTCATATTTTCATCAGTAGAAGGCCTTATTCCATGGCACCTTCCATCAGCCTTGGGAAAAGAATTTTTTAGAATAAAAGAAAATTTAGAAGGAAGCATAGAAAGCAGAGTAGCCATGTAGCCCTTATTAGGTAGTTTTTTTAAAAAAGGTATATACAGCGTGAAATGTGACCTTTCCACTGTACACGGCAGTCTAGTCAGACCACACTGGAGTTTTTTTGGTCACTTATTGGCACTACCTTTAAAGAGAGGCATTGACTAACTAGAACATATCTAGAAAATGGTGATGGGGATAAAATAGAGACATGAAATCATGTCCTGAAGAATGGTTAAAGGAATGAGAAGTGTTCAGCCTAGAAAAGAGAAAATTGGGAGTGGGGGGAAGGGATAGATAAACTGGGTCTGTAACTAATTAAAGGGCAGTCCTGGAGAAGAGCCGACGACGTGTTGTGAGAATAGATTGAGGGCCAGTGGTTCAGAATTTCAGGATCTGACTCAACCTAAGAAAGAACTTTATAACAATTGGAGTTGCCTATTAAGTTTTGAAAAATAGTGAGCTCCCATCACTAGAAGTGTTGCGGTCAGTCTACAAGCACTGATTAGATGCTCTATGCCAGGCATTGTGCTAAGCTTTGGGAATACAACCACAAGAAGAAAGAGACACAGTCCCTGCCCTCAAGGAGCTTACTTTCCTTTGAGTGGAGGAAGATAAGCTGTCTAAGGAAGCTATAAGAGGTGGGGCTAGGAGATGAAGGGACCCAGCTCAGGGGCATTGTAAGTAAAGTCCAGGAGAAAAGGCAGGAGGAAAGAAGTCATGAGTGGCCTGGGCATCCTTCTTAAAATGGAGGTGCAGAGAGGAAGCAGCCAGTGAAAGGGAGAGGATGCAGAGTTGATGTCAGGGATCAGTTACTGCATTTGGCAGGATATTGGACTGGCTATTAGGCCAGTTATTCCAGTTTTATTGGTTCTTTCCAGTTTCACAATTCCATAATAAGATGTTCTATTCTCAGTGCTGACCCTGTTCTTCATTGGTGGCAAATGAATCATGTACCAAGAAAAAGCAGCTCCTGTGTTGTATTCATAATACGCTATATTCTGCCATTACAGATTTACACCCTGGACATCCATAAACCTGAGGATTGTTGGGACAAGTTTACTTCCAACCGAACAATAGGAATCGTGCTGTTCATAGGGATTATGCTCGGAAACTTATGGAAAGAAAAGAAACCAAAGGGGTCAAAGGAGAATGGAGACCTTGATTTAGGAAATTAACAAGTGAAGTTTAGGAACGCTTCAGACCAAGAACTACAACACTTTCTCTAGTTTTGTTACCAGAAAACTGGTTTGAGTAGTCTGTCAAAGTGAGAATGATTGGCAGATGACTATTTGAGGCATGGTCACCCAGGAATTCCCAGGTTAAACTCTTTCGCCAGTAAAATTCACTCCATCTCAGGTATTAGCAGGTTCTCAACTCTTTTGAAGCTGGGCATAGCCCTGAATTTTTAGATGAACCTGTTACATGAGAATTCACCTTTAAAAATCATTGGAATTATACAAGCTTTAGCACCTTTTTAGAACTGTGATGAGTATCTCATCCAAGAGGAATGTATTTTGGGAAATGTATTCTTTTTAGAGAAAACTCAAATAAAAGCTGCTATGGAAAACTCGGTGTCATTGTGTTTTGACAACAGTTCACTGACAGAATATTTAGTTCAGGAAGTTATTTGGCATTTATCTTCATGAACAGCACTGAAACATGCCTGTACATCTGTCCCTCCTCCTTATAACAGGTTAACAGCTACTGGAAGCCAATCTTTGCAAGCCCACTGACCTAAACAGACCCGGCAAGCCGGTGTGTGTTCAGTGCTATGCAGTATCTTAAGTTTGATGAAAATAGATGTGGCCCTGCCCTCAAATAACTTCTGGTTTTATAGAAGAAACTAATTTTCTCAGAAGTAATTATGAATAGCATAAGCTAGCACAGATAGGCAGTTCCTAATTATGAACTTAAGACTGTTTGCCATGGATAAATAATGTTATGAGTGGGTTGCCACGCAGCCTTGCAAAAGCTCATGATTTAACCTATGGTATTATTGAATATATTGAATTTTATAGTTGAATATTATAGTATTATTGAATACTATAATACTAATGGTAGTAGGTTCAGAGCAAGGACTTAGACAAAACCTTTCCTGGGCCCTGAGCAATTTTTTTTTCCTCAAGCATCTTCCTGTCTGCCCATCTGTAGATCTCTTTCCCCTTCTCCCACCTCAGTCTCCTGGCCCTTCATGATACCTGAAGTCCTTCTTTCCAGTATTTTGCTCTTTTTTGCATCCCCAGTGCTTAGGACAGTACCTGGTACAAAGTAGGTGCTTAATAATTGCTTCTTGAATTGACTCATTGCTTGTTAAGTTACACCATCAAAAAATCATGCCCTCCCTACCAAGTACCACACTTAGGTCAATACACCACTGGGATGAATCCTGTCCAAACCTGTCCAATGCAGTAGGTGTTCATGCCTTTCCCAGCATGAGAAGAACAGTACCATTTCCAAGTGAAAGAAGAACCCAGAGGTCATCTAGAGTGACCCTCGCTTGAATGGGAATCTCCTCTCTACAATATCCCGGAAAAAAGACCCTCTAGGTTCTACCTCTAATGAAAGATAACACACTCGCAACGGGGATAGTCTATTTGGTTTGTATGTAACCAGCCAAAACTTCCCTCTCTGGGACTTCTATCTCCTAGCTATGCCTTCTGGGAAAAACAAAAAGTGTAAGTAAGAAAAAAAAAAACTTGTGTTGCTGTCTTTTACAATTTTGGGTTTTGGTTTTTTGTTCTTTTTTTAAACCACAGACATTAAGTAGCAAACATCCACCGAACACCATTTCCCCCCTTTTCAGCAAAGAAAAACAGTTCAGTCAAACCACAATCACATCTTTACCACAATCACTTCTTTTGACACCAGACACCTGTAGTTCCCCACCTATTTACCAAGAGTAGAGAATCACAGAGTCATAAGGGAACTCAGCAGCCAACAAGTCTAAGCCATACTTGAAAAAGAATTCCCATTTTTGTTTCAAGTTTCAAATTGGTGAACTTTTCTGTATCAGTTATGTCAAGCAACTTTTCATAGTTTGGTTACCGCTAAAATAATTTAGCTATGGTTGGTTATTGTTTTAATGTGTAAACTAGCCAAAAAGTTTGTTTGGGTTATGTATGACTTGCTGAGAATTTGCAAGTGTATAGAAATCTCTAATGATTGGCTTTTTACACCAGGACAAGTTTAAGTTTGAGATGTAAATACTGGAAAAGTTTTTCCTAAGCTGTGATTAGTAAAACTTGCTGTTTGAGGTAAAAGCGCATAGGATTTTATTTTGAGTTGTCTGATGGGTCATAATCCATCGATAATCAATAATCCACCATCTGAGAGAAATGCCACAAGCTACTCAGAGAAGATGATACTGGTGGGAAGTCAGCATTGGGAAAAGCTGAGAGGACAATTTTAGCCTCAGTCTAAGATGGGATCCTCCTAGCTCAGTTTCCCCATTATGTTCCTTTGAAAGGGAATGTTACCCACCTAGCTATCCCTGAGTCTGGCTCTGAGATGGATTTGATGGTTGGAAAACTGAATTATCTGAATCCAAATAGAGCTAAGGATGTTTTATGCTTTCAAAGTTGGGCCCTAAATCTAGTCCCTGCTTTATATCTGAACCCTGCAGTTTTTTCTGTCAGATTTATGTCTTCCAGATTACAGGCCATTCGCCTACAGTTGGTAGCAAACAGAGAGTACCAGCCAATGTCCCAACATTGTTCCCTGGATGCAGCCTGTGCTGGTTCCAGTCAACCTTCTCTTTGGGACCCCCTCGAGGCAGGGACAGCGCTACACCCCTTGCCAGCAGGAAGCAGTTTCAGAAGCCGAGACCTTCGCCCCTTACTCCAAAAGAATTTGGGTCCCATTTGTTTGAGGGGGGAATGATGGGGTTGGGATCTGGGTCCCAGAAAGGAAAAACCCTGGACTTTCCCACATGGCCAAATCTCTGGAGGTTGCCTGAGGCTATAATCCCATCAACTGGCCTTTCATTGTGGCTACACCTAATCTCCCCTCCATTGTCTTCTCCTTAGGCCCCCTCCTCCCCGCACCCCAAACTACTTGGCCACTCCTAGATCCCTCCCACAGGCTTTCTGTATATAAAGTCCATCTTGTCTCCATTAAGATGCTGGGATTCTTATGATCTAGCCACTGCTCAGATTCCTAAAATCTAGCCACTGTTTAGATAAGCCAATAGCTTTCTAATGTTCAGATTCCTTAAGAGTCTGCCCAATATGAAGGATGTTCTAATAAACCTTATCTTTGGCTGGAAAAAGAATTCCCATTACGAAATACTAGGTGATGAGATGGATACAGTTCTAGACTTGGAGTCAGAAAATCATAACATTTACTCTCCTTAGACATTTGCGAGCTATGTAGTCACTTCAACTGTCTGCCTCACTTTTCTCATCTGAAAAATGGGGATAAGAATAGCACCTACCTTCCAGAGTTGTTATGAGGATTAAAACCTTAATAAATAAATGTTAGCTCTTAGTGTAACCAAGGGCTTAAACCACCTGCATTAGACTCTGTTCTTTGGACACTTGATTATTTGATTCTCCATGCCTGCCCTGGGGGCAGAGTTGGTGAAAACTTAGCAGAGGAGAGATCCTTGATCTTCTGGCGTCCAGATTTAAGAGGGGAGATATGTTTCCAGATTCTTTTCCGGGAGAGGTCCCTGAAGGTAGACAAAGGCTCCATGAAGATGCCAAGATGTAGAATAGTTGGATGCTCAATCACATCCCCATTTCCAGCTTCCCATGCCAGAGACTTCAAGAAATTTTCCCTTGGGTGAGATTGGGAACGGCCTCAATCTCTGTCTGTCTCTCTGTCTCCTCTCTGTCTCTCTCTCTCTCTCCAATGGAAGATTTCATTCACTGTGTGGCTTTTGCTAATCTATATAACTTCTCTGGTTTCTCTTTGCTATCTAAGCCTGGATAAATGGGTTTATTTTCTAATCACCATATGTCTTTGTGTAATCAGCATTTGATAGGAAGGGAGTCAAGTCTTTGGATATGTAACTTAGGGCACTACTTCCCTGTTAAGGGAAGCAATCAGGAATGTGGCCTGAGCCTAAAAAGGTATTTCCTTTAACTAACAATATTGGGGGTGGGAGAAGAGATAATTCTCACCCAGTATCCCCTCTCTGAGGAGAGAAGAGTGCCTGGTGTCCCTAATCTCCTGCTCCCCCGTGGGTAGGCTTCAGTCTCCCTTGGACACACCCAGGAGTACCCATCTCGCCTCAGATGTCATTGACAATGGATTCTGTTGCTGCACAGATATGATGACATTGGATGCACTTGGGTCATGTGCCAATCCTGGCCCAATCTCCCCAGTGCAGTTTTTATTGCATTCTCAGGATCCACAGCCTTCCCAGGGCTTCCAGCATTCTTCTTCTGGGGGCACACGGTTCACGTCCAGAGAAATTGCCCATTTGGGGCCTATGGTCTCTGTCACCACCTCTGGGCTTTCTCTGGCTTACCAAGGTCCCACCTTCACCCTGCTGCCCAGTTTAAACATCATACACCCCATGTCCTCTGACTGTGGCTGACCATAGCAGAAGTATCATATCACTTCCCTCATTCCTAAAAGTGAGCTATGCTTCTCTCTCTTTCTCTCTGTCTCTCTGTCTCTCTGTCTCTCTCGGTGAGGCAATTGGGGTTGAGTGACTTGCCCAGGGTCACACAGCTAGTGAGTATCATGTGTCTGAGGCCAGATTTGAGCTCAAGTCCTCCTGACTCTAGGGCCAGTACTCTATCCACTGTGCCACCCAGCTGCCCCTATGCCTCTCTTAACACACAGACATTGCCTTACATTTTTTGTGTATCCTGTCACATTGTTGACTCATACCAAGTCTGCAGTCCACTTGAAAAAAACAAACCCCAACAGCTTTTGTGGACAAGATGCTGCTTTAGCCATTTAATTCCTTCATCTTGTACTGGTGAAGTTGTTTTGGTTTGGTTTTTTCTGAACCAACCATAAAATTTTACATTTATCTCTATTAAATCTCAGAGTATTAGATTCACCCAATGTTCGGGTTCTTTTTGCGCCCTATTTCTTGCATCTGGCGTGAGCTTTGTTACAGCTCTCATTTGTTAAGGGATGATACCATTAAAGACAAAATGTCACGCAGCCTGGGGCTGAGCAGATCCCCAGAGCACTCCAGAGTGTGTGGTTCGTATTCTGTTCTCAGGGAATAAGATTGGTCCGTGCAATTAACCTGAGGTCAGCTGCCTTTTCACGGTGTTTTCATAGAAATGCCTCTGTTTGTCATCTAAAGCTCTTTGCAATCTGGCTCCGACTTCATTATTTATTCCTGTTCTGCTCCTCATATATGGCATTCTCTCTCTTCTCTTCATCTAGTGCTTACCGTGCCAGGCATCATATTAAGCACTTTACAGTCATCTCATTGATTCTTACAAAAACCCTGGGAGGTGGGTTTTTAAATCCTATTATTATCCCCATTTTACAGATGAGGAAATTGAGGCAGAAAGAGGTTAAGTGACTTGTACAGGGTCACACAGCTAAGAAGTGTCTGAGGCTAGATTTGAACTCAGGTCTTCCTGACTCCAGACC